TTCAGCGTCGCTACGCTGAGTGACAACGGCCTGTCAAGCCTAACGGATCAGAGATGCGAATATTCGAAAACCTTGTCTGTTTTGCTTGACGCGCCGCTTGACTCTCGCATCAACGAATGAAACGTACGAGATTTTAAATTGGAGCTAAATGAAAAGAAATAAAATTCCCATAGAATAAGTTGGGATCAAAGCTCGGCCAATTAGCAATTCGCTATTTGTAATTCCAACTTGAAATAAACAATGACGACGACGACGACGACGACGACGACGACGACGACGACGACGATAATGATGATAATAATGATAATAATTTTTTTTCCTTTTTCTTCTCTTTTATTTTTTTTTCTTTTTTTTTTCTTTTTCTTTTTTTTCTTTCTCTAATTATTTTTCTATCAACGTTCAATTCGTTTGATATTTTTATTTTAGACTTTAAGAAATAGATAGAGATAGAGTGAGTGAGAGAGAGAGAGAGAGAGAGAGAGAGAGAGGGAGAGAGAGAGAGAGACAGAAAGTTATGTATATACATATGTACATACCAAATTCATATTTTTCATGCTATATTTAGTAATGAATCATCACTATAATGACACATAATTTAACCTAATGAAATGTACACATGTCATGATCTATATATATATATATATATATGAGTGTGTGTGTGTGTGTGTGTGTATACACATGTAAATAAATGTGTATTTACGTCCGTTAGATTTTTGTAATTATGCGCTTGTATTTATAAGCTCAGAGAGAGAGGGAAAGAAAAAGAGGGAGAGGAAGAGAGTTAAAAAAAAAATAAAAAAACAGGAAAAAAAATAAAAAGAAAAGAGAAGAGAAAGAAAAAAAGAAAATAAATAAATAGGTTTACTAATAAATATTCTAGCAATAATTTTTGTCATTTGTATTGACATTCGCCGACGATTATTTAAAAAAGAACTAGTCGCCGCACTGTTTACGGCCTCGTTTTGAAAGACCTTCGCGGATCATAACGGTCGTTCGTTTGCCATGATCACGTAAACATCGTTACAATCCTTCTTGTCGCATTATGCATATATACATACATATATATACACACATATTACATACATATTTTTATATATATATATACATATATACACATGTATGTACACGTGATGTAAGTATATTCGTAATTAGTTTACAATGCTTCCATCTTTTCCGCCATTTTATACATATATTATTATATATAATTTACATTGGCATAATTTTCTGACATTAGCCAAACTCGTAATAAATTTCTTTTCGTAAAATCAGATTCAAAAAAAGGTGCGTACTTTTACGTATTTAAAATGCATACATATATTATATATACGTACGTATATACGCGTATATATATATATATGCATTCATACATTCAAAGATGACAAAGGAGAATGCATTTAAATCAAATAATCGAGTATTAATCTCTCGAGAAATTTTGGATGGTGGTTTCATCTCACTTATTCTATTATTAATATAATCCGTTCTCGTTTGACGCTTTAATATTATTTAAATATCACGTATCTACGTTTGACATTTAACGAGTTTTGTTAGCGATGGCGGGCCACCACGTCTCCCTCCTTTACCCTCCAACCCCTGTACTTTTTCCTTTCTCCCTTTATCCCACTACCACTATCATGACCACCATCATAATCGTCACCATCAATCCCCACCCCTTATTAATTATTCATTATCGAATGACAGCTGGGATTACGTTAATTATCTAAATTGATATATCGTCGTAATAAAGTATAAAAATATTTGTAGGTTGAAATGTCGTCGAATTTCATCCGATCCACATTTATACATATGTGTATGTGTGTGTGTATGTGTGTCTAAGTGTACGTTCTTCATTTTCTTTTATTTTCTTTTTCCTTTTTTTTTTTTTTTTTTTTTTTGCCGAGAGAAAAATCATGCTTAAACAAAAATCATACGTACATATATATATATATACAATATACATATAAATTTACATAAAATACATATATATATATGTATATGGATATGTATATCTATACGTGTACATCGTAATGTTCCTCATTTCCTTTTTTTTTTTGTTTTTTTTCGTTCCCCCTTTTTTCCTTTTTTCTCTTTTCCCTTCGCCAAGAGAAAAATCATGTTACATTAAAACGCAGTTTGTTTACAGTTAAATCGTATACGAAGGTAACTTGAGAGGAGTGAGTACTTGAAATGAAACGAGGTAAAATCTAGCTCTCGGAGAAATATATCGCGCGGTGGGACATGTTGTTTCTCTTCTCTCTGTTGGCTCGTTTTTCCCCGTCTCTCTCACTCGCCTCTCATGTTCCTTGTCTCTCTCTTTCTCTCTCTCTCTCTCTCTCTAGCTCGAGTTAAGCGCGCCGGTAATCGTTATCGGGGTTTTGTGTTTGCACGTTTACGGCATATAAATTTGAACGAGAACACTTCGACGCTTTCGTTTCGTCAAATACCACGCGAATACTGACAAAAATCCCAAATTGTTTCATTTATCCCCTCTATCCCCTTCTCT